ACCAAGCAAAGAATTTTCCGTACTCGAAAAGTTAAAAAGGGATCTTTTAGACTTGAATCACACAGGGTCAAACTTATTTAACCACTTGTCCTACGAAATCAAATATTTCAACAACTTAAACGTTGCAGTAGACCCGGGAGAGCCGACAACAAATTTTCATGCGTCGTGGATCGTGATCACCGTTTATTTTTAAGCCAATATAAACCATGGTTATCATTTTCAATATTAAAATAGATTTTAAGAACGAGCTTCATTTAATAATTTGATTGACCCGAATGCTTTAAACACTTGATGCTATTAAAGTACTCTTTTGGGCGGCACGCGATATCTTAATCGCAGATAATTACTCGACAGTTTTACCATTAGGGCGAAGTCATGAGGTCACGCCAGAGGAGAAGCCGCAGTGTGTACAGTTTCGGCAGCCGGTTTGATTTTACGCCGGCAAGTGACTTTTAAACTCGAGTTTTTTGAAGAGAAAGGGAATATTTCGAACTTTTCTTAAAGATCAGAAGAAATGATCGGCAGGAAACTTTTAGCAGTTTCAAAGAATTATACGGAGCGAACATCAATATGTGGATTTCGATATTTGTCACAAGATGGTCGCACATTCATTGAGAGGTGAGTTTTTACGGAAGTGTTTATCAAGTTTAAGTTCAAAGGCTTATAATAAAAGTTGTGCATGACACATCCACGCATACACAGTGTCTGGCTTAGCATATGTATGAATTGAAAGTGGACGGCTGTTCGTCTAGGAGGGCGTGAAAAACAAAACACGTAAAGCTGAACATATTACCCCGCTTAAAAAACATTCAAACGGAGACTTAAATGCCGGTATTTATTTTAGCAGACAGCCATGACCGCCATCTTTCCTCCATTCTCACGAGGATGTTACCCTCCAACTATTAACTTTCATCAGTTTTAAATCCTAACGGGAGGTTTGCAGACCTGACTGCAGTGTTGGACACTCATGCGAAGACACTGAACATTCAGGTCACAGTTATTATCATAAGAGGGTAGAATGACATTAATTTGGGCGATCGCATTACAACTGAACATGTAAGGAAATAACTATGTGACGATGATAATACTAACATTATCGTGTCAACTCTGCCTTTCTGGTACAACAGATCAACACTATGAAACAAGATTAAGCACGCAAGTCAACAATGAAAACTGCATATGAAAGAAACAAATGTAACACGTTTTTTGAAATTAATTTCCTCTCAGCAAAACACTTCACCCGGCATGGTCTCCACATGAACCTTAATGGAAAACACACACTCAGTAGTGAGTTGGCACAAGAAGCAACTTGAATCCCAGTCTCTTGTCCCTTCCACCTTTCTATCTCCACCTTCTATGCCCTATTTAAAACCCTATTACTTCCTCTGACCTACCACCGATTCCATTTCCAGTTCAAATTCTTTTCCACCCGATGACCCAATATTCTTACAATCTGTCACTGCTGGGACACGTTACTACATTCGACTTCGCAGTCGAGGTTAAAATGAGATAAATTTATAGCAACAACTGTCAGATGTAGCAGAATAACATTCGTGTAGGTACTTGCAAACGATTCACATCCTGCATTATAACGTTAAATAGCTTTCGAATAAAACTGAGTTTCGCAAGGCTGTTGTACTGAACGGTTTAAATAGAATATATGCTTTACAGAACATTAGTTATGTCGCAATGAACATGAAATTTTCGAAATTCATTTCTTATCTCCCAGGCTATTATTGTAGTGAAAGGGAATAAATTAAGGGTCCTTCTTATGAAGGATGCATATGCAAAGGTCTTGCAGATCTTCCTACGATCAAAATTATTTTACTTTGCATCTACATGTCCCAACAAAACGAGTTATATATTATACCATGCTTGTAGAAAATCTAGAGGTAACTCTAAACAAAGTCAGTAATCGCTCTTTCAAATCCATTATTGTATGTGGAGCTTTTAACATTGGTTTTCGGACCGAATCTCTCAAAGAAGAGCAGTTTTTTTAAATATAATTCTTTCAGTTTAGATATTAGAAGAAATGTACATATGCGGATCATTGTTAATTTACAGAAGGCATTTGATTAAATAATTAGTAAAAACACATTGAACACACATGAGAACACACATTGATTAAATATAATATAATGATATATTACATTTATAACACATTGATAAATATATAAAATTTCAATCTAGTCTTCTAATATAGGTGACTACGATAAACAAGTTCTTTCAAGTACAAGTTCTTTCAAGTTCATTACAAGTAGTTGTGCGCACTTTCTCGCCACTAGTAATGGTAATGTAATGCTATTTACGCTACAATTTCCCTCAGAATTATTTGTAAAGCTCATTTGAAATCGTAGACCATTTGGGGGAAAAAAATAAGCAGAATGCGAGAAAGTAAATTAATTAAGTTAATAAATAATATAATACTGATGGCGTTTGAAAACAAATAGATCCAAAAATATGTAATAGTAATTATTAAACACTATAGTATTGTAATATTCTACAAATGTATAAAAGTATTCGTCATTGTTACCGCGATCGAGAGGCTGCCGTCATTATCTCCTGTTATCAGTAAAAGGCAAAGTACAACAAAAGACCCACAATCCACAAAGGGTTACGACAACGGGTTCGTAAAACCAATAATGATCGCACATCTATTCATTTGCACATTTAACACAATTAAATGACGCAATTTAGAATGAAATAAAATAAATATAATATAAATCTGAAAAATAATAATAAAATGAAATAATATACACATTCTAACTTACGTATAATCCAACCGCGTAGATTGGAAGCGGGTGACTGAATCTACTTAATAATAATTTCAAATAGGTTTTAAAGAATTTTTAAAAGATTAATTTGTAAACGTATTACAAAAGCTCCAATGTACTAAACGAACGAAGAAATGTGAAATACTATAATACACATTCTAACTTACGTAGCAAACAACTGCCTTGAAACACCTAAAATATCGATCATGAAGCGCAGTATATTCACAGCAGACCACTAACTTTGACGCCAAATTTCTCCAAAAATACTAATTTTCGAAACATTTAAGGGAACCTAATTTGAAAATGTACATAACCTTATTTCAAAATCTATCGTGAAGGAACAGATCTTTTTGAGGAAAATATTTATCTTCAATATTTTAGTTGTAGGAAGACCCCGAAAAAAAGTTTGATTTTTTCAAATTTCGAAAAAAGTAGAGTTTTTAACCAATATGAAACCTGCGCACGTCTCAAGTTGGTTGAAAACCCTGATTTTTTGATAATTGAGAAACTTCAAGTTTTTTTACTGCAATATTTTCTATAATATTTTTTTCTTGATATGTGCTCATCAAAAACATATTTTCAAATTAACCCACAAAACAGACTTGAACGATCTCCAGACTATCCATCAACAAAATGTAATCAAAATTGATTGCGCGATTGTTTTGAAAATTTTGAAAATGTCCCAGGAGCTTTATGTAAAGTATCCCAGAAATTTAAAATAGTAATTTTAAATTTAAGCGGCCGCGACATCAGCCAGTTCGACCAGGTAATATCAATTTTGGAGAAAATAGGCTGAACAGTTTAGCCACTAGCGTTGTTCACGGACGGACGGAAAGAGACGTTTTGCCGTCAATAGCGTTTTTCGATATAAAAGACCCACAAAACAGGATGCAAATTCGCTCGATTTATCCCCTTTTTCGTTACCAGGACCCTGTAATAGTTTCCTGCCAAAAGTTGGACGTTGTTTTCCGCAGGTGCGACGGTGAATAATGGTGCCTCAGGATATCAATTTTTAAAATATCGTTTACATTTACTTTTATTTTTCTGATATCATGTGTTTTTCTCGTAATATCCCCACATTTAATGATTTTCTAACCACTTTAATTTTTGTAGATTACAGTGCCATTTGTCAGCCAAAACGACTTTAATCATAGGTCAAATTGGGGAACTTTTTCGGGAATCCAACTCTGCAATAAAAAATAGGTGTTTCTATTTAGGATTTTTTCTCTCCTGGGTGTGTGGGTAGGGGTGGAATTTGGTATCATTAGGTGTCCCCTGCCGAAACAAAAAAACTTGTTTTACCCATATTTTATCTGATGTGTAGTTTTCAAGATTGCCTCAGATAGATTAAAATGGCCAACCATAAATACATAAATATACATAACTATACATAAATATATAATCATACATATGTACATCAATGTACATCAATAGATGTAGATACTATGAGTGGTTAACTCCGACACTGTGTGACCGATCTCCATGAAACTCCCCTGTAGGAAAAAATCTTGGTTTTTTTCACCAGAAGCTTCATGAGCTGTTAATTCTGTTGTAATTCCACTAAATGGCGCTGTAGAACAAAATTAAATATTCATGTAAAATGCAACTCACAACACTATGCAGAATTTTTGAATTTATATCATTAAATAACTGCTAAATATGCGTTCTAGGTAATTAAAAACTATATTTTTCTCTAACCGTGATCTATGGGATAAGTTCATTCTATTATATTTTTGCTGGTCCGACGGTTCTCGATATAACCCCCCAAGCTCCGAAACGTGCTGAATCTGCAACTAAATGTGAATGAGAGGGGCAGAGGAATGAGGAGAGAGAAAGAGACAGATGGTGAGAGAGAGGGAGACAGTGAGAGAGAGAGAGAGAGAGAGAGAGAGAGAGAGAGACAGTGAGAGAGAGGGAGGGAGACGGCGAGAGGGAGGGAGAGGGATTTTGTAATGTTATAAAATAGTTATTCGAAATCAGTTAAACAATATCATTCTGTAGTTATATATCAGATATTTCATCACGAAGGATGTTAAATCGTACATCGTATTATCGTAAACTTATGATTAAATAAAACTTGCCCGCATTAATAAAACACTTGAAATTCGAACTCGATTTTACACACACTTTTAAATTACCAAAAATCTTTTAAATGTTTTATTCTTTCTCAGTACGCCGATTTCAGGTACAATCAAATCACATCTGTATTTTATTTTTATTTTTCAGGATATTTTGGCTTCTAGTGTTGGCTGGTTGTTTTTTTTGTAACTATCAGCTGACAAAATCGTCTTATTACGCATACCAGCATCATTCGGTGAGTTTTGTAACAGAGACTGATTATCTTCACTGGAATACTTCCTATCCACAAATTGTTGTATGTGAGATTGAAAGTGCAAGCAAGGCACCTATATCCAAAGAATTTGTCATAAAGTAAGTGACCTAATTGAATTATATTTTTATTGAATTGTAAGTAATAAATAATTTGTTCTTTATTAATGTAATATTATTGCAGAAATTTCCCCAAGTATAAAGCGGACTGGAAACTCGCGCAGCTAATTCACAGCGCTGTGTTTCAAGCCTTGTGTATCGAGTGTTCACACTACTGCAACGACAAAAACAAGCCTACCTGTGATGTAAATTTCAATTTCAAGGAGCTTGGTCGTAAAGTAAGATTTATTCACATTGTTAGTTACATTGAAGTTCTAGTAGTTACATTTAAAGTATTCTTGTCTTTTCTCATTTTTTTGTTTACAAACAGATGAAACAAGATTAAAAAAATTGAATAAAATTTTTTAAATTAGGAAAATGACCCAGGCGCTCCCTCTCAAGAAACGTAATTCTAATTCAAGGGGTCACTACACCAGCCAGAAAGTTGAGGGAATATCAATTTTGGATAGTCGGCAAACAGACGGTCTGCCTGACTGCCTGACTGACTGACTGACTGACTGACTGCCTGACTGACTGCCTGACTGCCTGACTGTCTAACTGCCTGCCTGCCTGACTGCCTGACTGCCTGACTGACTACCTGACTGACTGCCTGACTGCCTGACTGACTGACTGCCTGACTGCCTGACTGCCTGACTGCCTGACTGCCTGACTGCCTGACTGCCTGACTTGCCTGACTGCTGACTGCTGACTGCTGACTGCTGAGCCCTGAGCTGCTGACTGCCTGACTAGTGCCTGCCTGACTGCTGACTGCGCTGACGCCTGACTGCTGACTGCCTGACTGCTCCTGACTGCTGACTGCTGACTGCTGACTGCCTGACTGGCTGACTGCTGACTGCCTGACTGCTACTGCTACTGCTGACTGCCTGACTGGACTGACTGCCTGAACTGATGACTGCTGACTGCCTGACTGCTCTGACTGCCTTGACTGACTGCTGCGCTGACTGCCTGAACTGACCTGACTGGACTGACTGCTGACTGACTGACTGTCCGGGACTGAATCCTGACACTGACTGCCTGACTGGCTGACTGCCTGGGGAGACTGCTGACGATGACTGACTGCCTGACTGACTGACTGCTGACTGACTGATGACTGCGCTGACTGACTGAGCTGACTGACTGATGCCTGACTGACTGACTGACTGACTGACTGACTGCCTGACTGACTGCTGACTGACGAAAATCTGACGACTATCTAGACTAATGACATGTGATGACTGCCCGAGACTGACTGCTGATGACTGACTCTATGTAGACTGAGTGACTGATGACCACATGTATGCTACGACTATCCTGACTACACTCTCACTGACGATGACTCCAGACTATTAAAATGCAAAATATATTCTCATGATGAGTTAAGTATTTCAAATAATTAGAAGGAATGGGCAATTTTTGTGAATTTCTTCATTCAATATAATCTTCATTCTCTTCGAAACAGGTGAAATGGCCATGTGAGAAACTGATGAAGGGATTGCGTTTGGAGATGGAGAAACGTTTCGACTGCTTGCTTCATTTGTAACTGTTGACATCTGACGAGTTTCTTTTTCAGCAAACCCGAGGTAAATCAGATGCAGATCTGGTAAACCGCAGCAAAATCATTGACGTTTTATTTTAATAATGAGGATGCATATTATAATGAGTAACATGTAAATTACTCTTTCCTGTAAACATAGTTTTTTACATATAGCAATATTCAGTAAGCCATTTAAAATGCACTGTGCATGTATCGAGAGGGTAAAAAAGCAGTAACTCAATTCATTTTTTACCTTAATTGTGTGTTTGTTCATTTTCATCTCCACAAATTTAGGCACACAGTTGAGACCCAAAACAAGTCATATATTCCTACAGGATGTATAATATTATTAAGCAGAGAAATCTCTGTTGAGTTCGAGAACACGCCATATCCTGGAGAGACTTGTTTTCTGAAGAAACTTTGGCTTAGTCCAGCGCCCTCTGAACAAACTATCCAGAGTATGTTGCTATGGTAGATGGCCATATGTTTTAGGTTGTACAACCCGTATTGTGCTTCGAACTATCTCTATAAATTAGTGCCTTAACCTAAGAGATAATTGTGTTAGCATCTTCGCTTATCTTTGTAATACACATGATAGATTTAGTCGTCAGTTCTTCAGATGATTTGTTCATAGAAGGAAAAGAGATAACAGAAACTACAAACCACTTACAGAGAAAATAGCATGAGGCAAGGGTTCACAATTCATCACAAAGAAAGCTAAATACATTCCTGAGAGAAGTACAAATAAAGTTTACAAGTGCAGAAAGAAATGTTTTTTAAATATACTTCCGAAGAGAGACATGAAATTATTTGTTATAATAATAATAATAATAATAATAATAATAATAATTTATATTAAATTTGTTCAAAAAGTGGTTGCGCTGACCGGGACTCGAACCCGGGCCTTCTGGTTTACGAACTACGTAAGGTTTACATTCTTTCGAAATCAAAGAGATTTATTTTTAAATTATATTTTTTATCTCTCTAAACCGGAAACGATCTATTTCCCGCACAACTCAGTTTTTGAAAAAAATCACTAAGTATGGAGTGCATTTAATTGAAAAAATACCTAATTTTGGGTAACGAGTGACAGAGTACATCGACCGATGGTGTATTTATTTATGAAGGAAACTACGACCCTTATTGTGATTCGACCGGTCTCTACAAATAGTCCTTTATTGTGATTCGAACGGTCTATATAATTACTAGTCATAATCACTTTATAATAGCAGTAAAAAAAACAATATGGATTTTTAGATGTACGCGTTCGCTATAGATCTATTTTAATGTGAAAGTGGGAAGCATTCATCAATCACGAACAATTTGGTGAGATGCTCAATGACTAACGGTAGTAATTAACTTGGCATAGTACGTGTTTTACATAAGTCTTTCAATATTTGTAGGGAACAGTTTAATTCGTTTTAATTATTTTTGACAATTTTTCTATTTTTTGTATTGTAATGAGTTGCGCGTACGTACCCTCGTTGCGGGGTCCTGCCCGCCCGCGCCCCCTCCCTTCATCCACGCTCCAGATTAGGCACGAGGCAGCTGCCCCCTGAGACAAGGTCCCGTCTGTTTAGGGCCCCTTCCCACGTCGCCACAGCAGAGTGCTTTCGAACGCCACGGCTTCCAGCAAAGCATCGGTTTAAATGGAGTGCTTCCCACGTGCGGAGGATTCGCGCTGCTGTCTCTCTCGGCGGCGAACACTCGCCACGAGCTGCCCGGGTCTGAGTCCGCGCCACCTCTAGCAAATCATTGCTTTAAATGGAAGTCTTCCCACTGGGACACAACGTCAAAGCGTTTTACCTGCTGCAAGACCCTTTGTCCGTCGTCGGTGAAAATCACTCACGCAGACCCCCGTTCCACGGCGAGCGACGGTGGCTCATGAGAAGCGCCTTGATGCATATCCGAAGCGCGCGGCAGTATCCACGTCAGAAGGCGCCTTTACGGCTCCTTCTCACACCGCCACAGCTGCGCGATTCCGAACGCCGCAAGGCATTGGTTTAAATGGAGGTCTTCACACGTGCGGATTCGTGCTGCTATGGTGGCAGACCATCGTCACCAGCAGCGTCTAAAGGCAAAAGTGCCGCCGCTGGCAGAACATACATTTAAATGGTGGTCTTCCCACTGTGTCACTTGTCGCGGCATTTGACCTGCTGCATTTCTTTGTTCGTCGTCGCCGACGGGACTGCGAATCCTACCCCAGAGGGAAGTGCACTGCTGCTTGTAGGAAAAGGAGACCTAAAGGGCCCCCCTCTGACGTCGCCATTGCTGCACGCCACCACGCCGCCGCCACCCGCCGTGGAAGGGAGAGAGTCCTCCAGGGGTAGTTTTCGCCGATTCGTCGGCGACGTGAAACAAAAGGAATGCAGCAGGTAAAACGACGCGACCGGTGACGCGGTGGGCAGACCACCATTTTGAATTTGTGTTCTGCCGGTGGTGGCGCGTACGCCCTCGCGAGAAAGTCTGTGCCGTTATGTTGCAGCTCTGGTTGTATTCAATTTCCGACAATTCTCTCAATGTAGAACCAATACAAACACTCAAGTGACTACTGGAAATAGAAGAAACAACCGTGTGCGTGGGAGGAGAAGTTTTGAGATGGACATTATGCAAAAAAAACTATGTAATTTGTGTTTGAATATAGACTTAACGTTGTTTTAGTTAATTATATGAATTACTTACGTTTTATTGAGGTATATATTAGTGTTCTGAATTTTGAAAATTACATTTCCATAATTTGATGAAGCTGCAATCTCCAGTTTGTTGGGGCACCGGTCACCTCTGGTCTCACCCCTAATCACCCACACGTGTCGCGTGGTTCGTGTGCACCCATTAACTGTACTGCTGAGAGATTCGTAATATTTCACCATTCTCTGTACGTAAATCTCCGGCTGTTAAACGGCGCAATGTCCAAATTGCACAAAGCAACAAATGCTGGGTGTCGCCGTCGGGTGAAGGACTACTCCCCGTTACGTACTTATCGCCAGTGTACCCTTGTTAATAGGTGTACCAACGGGGATTTAAATGGCAAGAAAAGATTTGATTTCGGAAATAAACAACTTCGTCTCTTGATTTGGTAAACATTGGGTATCCATAGTATATGTGCCTCTTGTTCTCAACACTAAGCTATTCAATTGAACTTACAAACTTTACAATAATTTTCAGTGCCGGGCAATCTGAACTTCCTATTATGGTGGTTAACAAACATACTGGACCAGCAGGAGTTGAATTTAAAGTAACGAGACCGGTTGAGGTACGTCTGTGACGAAAGATGAATTTGAGATTTTTTGATTGGTATCATCTCGAATACATTTTTCTAATACTCATTAAATGAATAAACTATTTGAATTGCTTCAATTGCATTTAATACATTTTGCTTTTAAATGCAGGTACATGTCTTGTTAATATGAAAGTTCTGATTTAGGTATTCCTCTTAGGACCAGATGATTCAGTGAATTTTAATCAAGAGGCCACTTCAAGTTTCACTATCAGGAAACCATCATTGTGCGAACTGATCTTCACGGTAAGATCAGGATTTTACTTTTCCCTTTACATCATACGAAGAGAAAGTATTGTAATTGTGTGACTGAAAACGGCAATTTTTCGACAGAAAAGCTCTTATTGCTAGGCTGTGGTAACGAAAAAGTGGATAAATTTTATTCTTATACACAGTAGATGTTTCCCCTCCAGCAGATTGTGTACTTAGAAGTGACCTTAATATCGAGATATCGACTGACATCGTCTGTCCGTCCGTCTCTGGTCAAAGCTAGTGTCAAAACCTCTCAAACCCTTTTTTTCCCTCCAAAATTTATATTCCTCTATCAATTTAAAGAATCTCGAGCCCTCTGAGTTTGAAACGAATATTTTGAATTTTAAAGTAAACACGAAACCTCAACAAGATTTTCGAAATTATCTAAAAAATGTGTCCCAATTGCTTTCTCGTATACGTTCGTAAGCACGGAGTAATATAGGTAGTATAGAGAAAGGTTCGACAGAAAACCCCCTTTGTCGGGCTCTGATAACAAAAAAGTGGATAAAATACAGTTCCTAAATTTAGAAAAAAATCCTCTAACACGTGGTGTAGCTGTATTTTGTAGATCCTTGATTTCCAAAGATTAATTGATGGCCAAATGTCCGTCTGTCCGTCCTTATAGTGTAATAAAACAAATGGGTAATTATTTCTTATAATTTAACATGATGTCTACGTACTAATATTACAAGATTTCACAAACCATTTTGTAATTTTTTATGTTAAAACTTTTAAAAAAGGTTTACTTATAATTATTTACAATATTTCCCCAAAATTCGAATGTAAAAATTGGAATCATTATGCAATTTTTTTCATGTATCTGGCAGATACATGGATAGCAATAACAGAAGATTTTTGAGGATAGTAATCGAGTGTAAAGTAAGACTGAATTCTCCAACAAAAATATGCATATATGACCAGACTTTATCCTTATATAATATTCGTAAAGTTCTATTGCAATTTTTCTAGTAGGATTCCAAAAGTTTGAGGAAACGTGAAAAAATGACTTTTAGGCGTCAATAGACGGCAGCTGAGAAGGCGCCGAAAAGAAAACTGAGACTGAAGAAAAAGAAAACTATTACGAGGAAGTCTGTCATTCTGCATCAAACTAGGGTTGCAATTATCAGTTTAGCGGTGGGGCGGCTAGAAGCTTCAGACAGCCGGAAATGGCTCGGGAGCCGTAGTTTGACAATCCCTGTAATTGCATTTTTCTTGCCAGATGAGGTAGTTTTTAAGTTAATGGACAAGGAAAATTTAAATCTTTCTTTCAAACGCTTGTACTCGTATTATTTGATTTCTCTGTGGATGTTATGACGAAAATGTTTCAAATGGTGAGTACCTCGCGATGTGATATTGTTTTAGGTGAAAGAGATAAAAAACGACGAAGCATTGATTTATGAAGACTTTGAAAAACGAAAATGCAAGTTTCCTCATGAAACAGAATTGAAACGATTTGACAGGTACAGTGTGACGGCCTGCGTAGTCGATTGTCGTGCTCATCACCAACTGAGGTTGTGCAACTGCACCCATCACAACATGCCAAAATGCAAGTATCTGATCTGTAAATTTCCTCTCTCAAAGTCTTTGAATAACTAAATTGAGTTTTATATTCTTGCAGCGGAAAGTACTATGTGTAATGTATATGGTTTGAAGTGCCTTGGTGATCATAATCTACGTAAGTGTTCTAGGTCAATATGAAGTATAAGTTGTATTTTATATTGTTTGTTAATATTTTCTGAATTTTTATTGCAGTTCTGAGAGGATTTCGTCTGAAGGGAGCTGCTTACAGAGCATGGATAGAATGTGACTGTCCACCTTCTTGTGTTGAACCAGAGTACAACGTTGTGTACAAAGAATGTAGCAAAAAAAGGATCCCGTATGTGCCATGTGCCATTCATGTAGTTCACACATCATTACTACTAACTTCAGAATTATTGGTGCGAGAATATTAAGATAACTGGAATACCGGTCATTCACACTAGAAGCTTAGTTTGCTTAAAATGTGCCTATCAACGGCGTGAGAGATGTTTAAAAAAATTACATTTGTGTTGTTTTAAAAAACAAAACAAAAAAAAACACTGAAATGAACTTTGTCATATTAAAGAGTGCAATTACCACTATCAGTTCCAAATATTTGAAGGAAAAAAAAATTGGAACCGTTTTGAGAAAATAGCGTTTGAGCGTTTCTGAAAAAGTGGAGTTTTGAGCTAGTTTTCACAGAAAACGGTAGAGTTTTCGATAAATACAATAAAATTAACAAATTACCGCTGCAATATTAAAAAAGAATAGAGCAAAATCGCGTTCATGTCATGTTTTAGAGTACATTAAGCACTATTCTTACCAAAAGTTGAAAGAAATAAATCTGGATCCGTTTTTGAGAAAATCTTGTTTTTGTAGTTTTTTAATATTACACATCATTGCATGCAATATTGCGCGGAAAAATACTAAACTTTTCAAAGAAAGTACATTATCTGACTGAAAGAACTAATTATGAAAACAATATTTGAATGAAAAAATTGTACCTTAAATTTTGTAGTTGTAGGAAGATGTCAAAAAATTCAAACTTTTGAAATTTTCGAAAATTCAGAGTTAAACGTGACGTACTAAGCGACTAACTCACTAAAATCGCTTACAAGTGTATTTTACTCTATTCTTACAAAAGAAATATTTTGAAGCTGTATTTAAGAAAATTTTGAAAATTTCCAACAGCTTCATGTAATGTACACGCATACTTTATTTGGAAAACATCTTACGTATGGTTTACGCGCTAGTGGTGTTCACAGGATTCTGGGTATACCATGTTTCAGGGGATTTGGTTTTCTAAATATAGCAACAGAATTTATTCACTTTTTGTTATCAGGGCCCGGCAATGAGAGTTTTTTCCCCCAAAACTTCGCCGCATTCCATAACGTTCTCTATAGTACGTGTATTACTCCGTATATACGTGCGTATACGAGAAAGTAAAAAAAGTGAGGCACCCAGAAGAAATGATTTAAACTGAATGAAACCACATATGCTGAAGACAATGGGATATTTGAAATGATTCCAAATTCGAATGAAAGAGAAGCGGCTGTAGGCAATTAAAGGTGGCAAGAAAGTGGTCGCCAGCTCCGTAGGTGTTGCAAATCCTTATGCGGTTCGGAATGGTGTCAATCAGCCTTTGAATTCTCTCTTGAGGCACGTTCATGCACAGTTGTTGCAACAGCTATTCCTCCAATTCCATCAGGATTGTGTAGCGACGGAAGCATCTTTTAAGACCATCCCAAATGTGTTCAATGATGGAAAGGTCCGGGGATTTTGTTGGCCACGGAAGGACTTCGATGTGCTTTAGGCAGTCCATAGACTCACGTGCTGTGTGTGGGCGTGCGTTATCTTGTTGCAACACTGTCCCAGGGTGCTGTGCCACAAGGGGTAGGTTGTGCGGACGCAGAATGTCTGTGATGTATCGCTGTGCAATTAGTCTGCCGAAGCACTATTAGTGGTGATTTGAATGCATATCCGATGGGTCCCCACTGCTTAACGCCCGAGCTTACGTCTGTGTGTCTTCCTACGTTTGGGGCAGGATGCGCCCTCTGCCCTTCACGCAGCCGCAGTCGAACACGATGGCCATCGGAGATTATGGCGAAGCAGTACTCTATAACTGAACATGATGCGACGTCATTCGTCCTCTGCCCATGCCTCAAGGGCAGGGCACCAATCCAAATGTCGACGTCGGAGTTCTTGTGTCAGTGGCAACTGACGCATGGGGAGGCGTGACCTCAATGAGAGTCCGAGTCCGAGTCCGAGTCCGAGTCCGAGTCCGAGTCCGAGTCCGAGTCCGAGTCCGAGTCCGAGTCACTGTCCTTGAAACCACAGAGTGTTGTAGAGTCGCCAGTACATGCTCGTGAACGGCGGATCCGTCGACGTGGGATTCCGCACTGTTCGGCCCACCATACGACGGGCCTTCCTGGGGGTCAACCCCAGCCTGCACGATGCGCACGAGTGTTCTCGTGTACCCATTGATTCCAACATCGGGCCATTGTGACAACTGAATGTCCCACATGCCTGGCATTGCACGATACGACCAACCAGTCTCGTTAAATCCTACAATAAGGCCCCTAATATAACAAACTAGTCTCGTTCAATCCCACAATACGGCTCCAGATACGACCAGCCAGTCTCATTACATCCCACAATACGGCCCCTGATAGAGCAACCAGTCTCGTTAAATCCCACAATGCGGCTCCTGATACGACCAGCCAGCCTCATTAAATCCCACAATACGGCCGCTGATACGACCAACCAGTCTCATTAAATCCCACATAACGGCCCCTGATGCGACCAACCAATATCATTAAATCCCACATAACGGCCCCTGATACGATCAACCTGTGTCATTAAATCCCACAAAACGGTCCCTGATACGACCAACCAGTATCATTAAATCCCACATAAAGGCCCCTGATGCGGCCAACCAGTATCATTAAATCCCACATAACGGCCCCTGATACGATCAACCTGTCTCATTAAATCCGCGTCTGCGCGATCTCTCTTCGTATTGCACGCGAACGTCGTTCTGCTCTCTGACTCAAGTAGTTTACAAATAATAACTATGCAACAACATGGAGGTGATATCACGATTGCACGCTTGTGAGTGTTATGCACTTTACATATAAGTGTGAATCTAACCATTTACACACACATCAAGAGTATGAAGGTATTCCGAAACGGAATAACAACGGACTACTCATTCTCGATTTATCACTTTTTAACGGGCAGTGTATATTACATAAACGAAAACGGAAAATGCGGGAACAAGATGCTCTCAAAAATTCTTTATTTTTTTCCTTATAATGTTCTATTCAAATTAATCAAAGTTGGCTTAAATAACGAGCACGAATCCCGCTAGAAAATCTGAAATTTTTTATTAACACTATAGAAAGGTTGGCAAGGAAAAAATCCGCTTTCTTTTAGATGCTTCGGAAGTATTTGTACGAAATGAGTCAAGTGATCCGATGAACAAGTCGGAGCTTACGCTTTGGTGTTTGATTTTTAGCCCTGACAATAATTTTTGCAGGTTGTAAATATTAACAAAAACTTCTCGAGAAATTTCTTGGAAGCTTACAAGATTTAAATATATACTAGATCGTGGAATGACTTAAATAATGACCCCCAAGTTGAAATTGAAAATTCACAACTAAGCTTTTTACGAAAGAAATCTTCCTTAAAAGTATGTCTTTTATATAAATGTAAAATGCAAAAGTTTTTATCTTGTTCCAGAAACTCTTATGGAAGCGTTAAAATACAAATGGCCGGGCTGCCTACACAGAGGTTTAAAGAAATTTAATTAGGAATAAATTGGACTTATTTGGTAAGTTCTTATTCGAATAATCATCACAAAGTATATGTAATTTTTATTAGTCAAGAATTGAAGTTATTTGCTATTTTATATTATGTAGTTTGTATTTGAGTGTTCGTGACAATATTTATATTTCAATAATGACATTTTCGAATTATTACCTCTATAAGACAGGATTGTGTGTATTCTTTCACGAAATGAACGTTTAAGTATACTAGGAGTAAGTCACAATATCTAGAGTCTTCAATGAGGAGGTAGCTAGAGGGTCATCTATCTGGTATGCTACAATATTCGTATAATAGTTTAACGAAGATGTGTAATGGATTCTCAAATCCTAAGTACCCAATACATTGAAGTAGTACGAGTATGTCATTCTTGTACGTATTAGGTACTCATAGCGAGGAAATGTTTTATACGTTATGTACCCTCGCTCAAAGAAATTAGTGGTGTTACAGAATGGCACAGACTTTCCCGTATTAGTTTTCTATTTCCTTTGGTCTCTGCTAGCTACTCGCTCTTGCCACATAATCTTACCAGCTGTTAACTATCGCTGACCAAAGTACATTTTCTTAAATTTTCGGTTTTGTAATAGTAGAATGTAAACACAATAGTGTTTACAAATTGCTTAAAATGTGCATATCAACGGATTGAGAGATCTTTCAAAAATATTACCTTTGTGTAATGTTTGAAAAAACAAAATAATATGCCAAAATTAACCTTGTCATATTAAAGAGTGCAATTACCCCTATCATTTCGAAACGTATGAAGAAAAAAAAATTGGAGCCGTTTTACTCAAGCACATGTACTCATAATACAATAATGTGAAAAAATTATCGGAAATAGAAATATTAACGACGTGAGAGGCAAGTCATAAAAATTACGTTTCTAATTTGAAAAGAATGGAGCAAAATTGTGTTTGTCATGTCATAGAGTACATTAAGAAATATTCCTACCAGAAGTTGAAAGAATAAAATCTGGAGCGGTTTTTGAGAAAATCTTGTTTTTGTTATTTTTTAATATTGCACATTGTGCTCACAAATGCAATAATGTACGCAAATTGCCATAATGTAATTACTAACAACGAGGAAGATATTCCAAAAAATGGTGTAATTTTTGACAAGCAACATAATGCTGCACAATAGCGTTTATGGCATGTTATTCAGTGTATATAACAGTATACCCCAAAAAGTGTATGAAAATTGGGTCCGTTTGTGAGGAATTCTTGTCGTTAGTACTTTTGACTAACGAGTATACGTACGTATGTATAGAGTAATATACAATATAGTCTTTAAAATTAATATGGAAATTGTAGGAGGAGACCGACATTCAAAGTTTTGCAATTGCCGAAAATATCGGACCTACGCCATCTTTATAAGCGTATTTCATCCTACTCTTACAATAATATATAATACGTGTGAGTGTATAATATACGAGAGCGGAGGGAAATAAAATAATCAGGAAACAAACGAAAATACTGCATTCAGTACTCGGAAACTCATGAAACGAATGTTAAATATATTAAAGTAACGAAGGTGATTCATTGGCTACATTGCTAGATTTAGATGGAATGAAACATATTGAATTAGATGAACGGTTATAGGAAGCGGACCTATGGAAACAGTGTTGGTTACTTTGGTATATAAAATTGTCAAAAAACTATTTATTTCCAAAACTCTGCAACAGCTATTCTGAAGAACTATTGAAATTTAAGGTTCGATACTTTACCACGAAACTATTAATTTTGAAAGAAATTGCTTGCCACAGAAAATATCAAAAGCTTTTTTTACGTTCATTAGCACTTGTGTTAACATCACAACGGGTAAAATAGTTGGAATAATAATAATAATTACCTTTCTGTTCTAGTGTCTGTTGGAGGCATAGCTGGTTTATTTTTGGGAGCAAGTTTGCTGAGTTCTGTGGAAATAGTGATAATATTCTGCGTTCAGCCATTTACAAAACGCATATTTTGGAAATGAATTGATTGATGTTATATGAAGAAAGAAAACAGAAGATGATTAATGTAGAAACATGGCAAGTAATTATCATTAAAAATAATTTCAAGTAAATAACTAATTGCTCGTAACGTGCGATCTTTAGTAAATTGTCATATGTTTATTTGATTATAAGTGAAGTTTAATATCTCTGGCAATTTTGAAAAAATGTAATTATTTAGTTTTAAAAGGTTATTTATCAGAAATAATATAAAATATTTCATATGGATTGTATTAAATTATATACGATTGAAATTATATTCATTTGCATTAATTGGTAAGAAAATTAATTTTTATGTTAATGAAGTATATTTGATTTGATTTATGTATTCAAAGAAACGTGAAAACAGTACGTGACGCATGGGGAAAAAGTACCATCTGCACAAGTTTTCTTGAGCTCCAGAATCCCTACCCCACAGTTTAACTATAAATAGTTCAAAGATGAATAAAAGTAAAAATATAATAATAATAATAATAATAATAATAATAATAATTACAAAAATAAAATTAAAAAAGCACGACATTTGAAAAACTAGACATTTTCGCTTCTGAGTTATAGAAAACTCGGTAAAGAAACAGCAGATTTCATTTTTTTTATTGATAACAAAATAGAACCCCCCAGCTTCACTCCTCTTACTACAAACAAAAGGAGAGCTCAACAAAACATGGGCATAGTGTAGCTTCATTTATATCCAGAAGCAGCTTTTGTGGGGTCACATCAGCATTTCCTCAATGGATCAGGAAAAAAGGACAAAAAAATTGATCGAGACGGGGTCATTGACCTGGAAGCCTAAGAACATTTCTTGCTCCAGCCATCATTTTAAGACTTAAAAAATACAATACAAATGTAAGTCAATGCATTATATATCATTGTTAAAATTGACATTAATTTTTTATGATCTCTATAGTCTCTAATTGTATCGAAACAGTTATACAAGAGAAAATAATTTAATTTTAACTTAAATGTGTGTACAAATTTTATTGTTTAATGTTCTCTAGAAATATGTCATGAAGTAACATACGTATATTATATGGATCTCTTGTAGTGAGCTGTTGATACTGTCATCTGATGGATGTAAAAGATGCTTGAATAAGTTTTCTAGTATTTTTTGTGAAAATTAAAAACTTAGTTTACAATATGTGATACGCAATATGTCATTCAAAGTATAGCCCATCTCTAGCCACTACTTTTGCCATCTTTCAGGCAGCAAATGAATTCTACGTCGGAAAAACCATACGCCTTTTGTGGGTGTCCAAGAATCAACAGTTTTTGGTATCTTTATAAGAATGGAAGCGCTGCTCGCCAGGTCAGGTGCCATCGAACGGAATAGGTGATAATCTGAAGGGACGATATCTGGTGAATATGGCGGGTGGTGCACGATTTCCAATTTAAGTGTTTTCAAGTAGGTTTTACTGGTTTTGCAACTTCTGGTCGAGGGTTGTCGTGTAACAAAATTGCCTTGTCGTGTCTACCCTCGTACACAGGTCGTTTTTCCTTTAGGGCACGACTCAAACACATCAATTGCAGTCGATTGTGATGTCTCATGATAGTTTCGTTTGGTTGGGAAAGCTCATAATAAATTCCACCCAGCTGATCCCATCAAATGTAGAGGAGAAGTATCGATCAATGGGTATTGGGCTTTTCGTATGATGTCGATTCGTGGCCGGTCTTGCCCCAAGATCTTTTATGCTTAGGATTGGATTATCGTACTGTATCCACTTTCATCGCCAGTCAAGACACAATGCAAATGAACCTTTTCTTCTCTGTGGTTGAAACGGCAGTTTACATGTGAGATAATGCTGTTCGACGTATTTTGTCTTCAACTCATACGGCACCCAATGCCCTTGCATCTGGAAAATCCTTAATACTTTACAACGATTTTGCGATGTCAGCTAGCGTCTGAAACGCGTCTTCATTGAGTAATGCCTCCAATTTTTTGTCTTGAACCTTTTTCGGTGCGCCAGAGCGTTCTTTATCTCTAAGATCAAAATTATTTTCTTAAAGTGTCGAAACAAGTCTGTTTTTTTCGACAGAGCATGTTTTTTCAACTCTGTCGTTTTCGACAGAGCATGCTCTCTGTAAGTCTCAACAAGAATTACGGGTACTTCAGCTGCAGATTTCTTCTGAATAAAATGGTGCAATAAAATTCCCCGCAAAAACACTTTTATTGACACAAAACCTGCGAGTAGTTCTGATAACGGCAACTGTTAGGAAAAAGCGAGAACTTATTCAAGCACCTTTTAATTTCTACGACGTGTGCTGCGATTTTCAACATCAATATTGCATGAAAATATGTTGCCGTGGTTAATCAAGTCAGTTTTGACAAAAACTTAATATATAGGCAAGGTAATGTTAAGATTACAAGCTCAATGAAGAGAGGCGTGTAGGAATCACGTGGATGACATTTTTTTTAATTTTTAGAATATTTTATTTTCTAAACGTCTGGGTACTTCGTATAGGATTAACTTTCCCAGAATATTATGCCATATCTCAGGCGGGTATGTACATGTGCAAAATACAAGCATCAAGCGGAATGAAGGCTGACCAAATTTGAAAAAAATATGAATGTGTAACATTATGAATGAACTTAATGCAGTCTTGAATTCTGTTAAATGTATACTCCATTTGAGATTTGACATTTGAGAAACGCCTTAAGTTTTTTATCTTAATACTTTCTAATTGCATTTTGTTAATTTTCAATGGAGCATACGATTGCCAATTTGAAATGCAAAAATGCATTGAAACAGTTTTTTCTTCCTTAACTAATAAATTTCTTATTAAGAAACCAATTTGAAACGTTTGAAATCGTACGATTTATTGTTTCGTTTGTGCAAAGAACATTTTTGGTATCGGGGAACAGAACTGGTTTTTTATTTTTAATGGAGGAAGACATATCGTTTACGTATAACAAAGAAGATATGATCTAAGATGAAACCTTGCGGGGCCCATGCTCAATTGTCAAAGAATTGGAAAGATAAGTTAATAGAGTTTCGTGCTTGTACGGTATTTCTGTTCTCTGAGATCGATGTTTAAGGAAAGAGATTATCCAATCAAGGGCAATACAACGAATTCCATATGAAGGTAATTTTGAGAAAATGTGATGGTCAATAACGTCTAAAGCTTTGGAAAGATCTAAAAATATTCCAATATATGTTTCATTTTGGTCATTTGATGAAGGAACATTTTTTAAGAAAAGAAAAAAGGCAATTGCTATTTATTTATCTCCATTTTACCTCTAGTGCGTGTTCAAAGGAAGTATAGTGCCCCAGCAGTGGGAGGAGGTGAGGAAGGAGGGGCGACAGATGCAGAGAAATGAATAATAGTAGAGGTAGCACAAGAATTAGGTTCAGTGGGATAAGGTAATTGGGTCCAAAGAGATCCCGGACGATGGAAGAGAAGTAGGAGAGTGGGTGGTGATATGTCTTGTGCAGGGAAACTGTCGGGATTGTGAAAGGATTTGTTTTGCTAGCTGTCAACGGAGTGCATGTTTTCTGCCAAGGTTCAGATGAAGACATGCCGGATAATTCTTTTTTCTTTTTGAGAGGAAGTTTAGTTCAAATAATTTAACATGCGTGTCTCTCAGATGCAGTTTCAATTGGTTGTTTGCGTGTCAAATTCATTTGCACGGTGTTTGCTTGTTGAACTAGAAGTGCAAAGTCTTCACTATCATGATCATATTTTGGGTGTCAGATTGTAGTTTGTCAACATGTTGCTCAGGTGTAAAGTGACCACTCAAACTGATGTCATTTTGTCTTAATTGACATCATTCTCACATTGATGTGATTCTGCGATGATTGCATCCCGTATGATGAGTGTGTTTGTGTGGGTGCCCATCTCACAGGACACGTCGACAAATCTCCCGTTAGATTGAAATCCGCTCGTGACAGGGACAGTGGTGGGTAGTTTCCCACTGAAGAGGGAGAAGATTTGTCGCCCATGTCGCTCAAAGTATATTTTAAAACGTTTATTGTTAAATAATAGGCAGTGTTATTTACTCTATCTAGTATAAACTGTAACCAGATGTTATGCAAACTCATTTATATCTTCTTGTGTATAATTATTGTTTAATAAATTAAAGAGTCTTGTCTGTCAAATGTTCAATTTGTGTAAAAAGAATGTTACTACGCTATTTCCTAATTCATCCACGTGCATGAATTATGTAATGTTAATGAAATACACTGTTTCATTGAAGTGACTTTTCATTCTTTTTTCCTTATTTCTGCCAGCTATAAAAGCTTATTTCACTCTATTCTAGTAAAAAATTAGTAAAGTAGATATTGGGGAAGATTTTTGAAAAAAGTTTGAAAATGGCCAGAGGTTTCATGAAGTTTCCCTGATAATTAAATGACTTGTTTATAATTAACAGAGCCAGTAAGACGAACGGACAGACATACATACTTTAAAAAAATCAGTTTTTTGGAACAAGGAGATCTTTATACGTGTATTTCTGTTAAAATCTATCAAAGTTCCTTCATCGATTTTCGAGACATTACAAAAAATTCCCAATACTACTTGTAGGGGTAGGTAATAACAATTTGGAAAGTATGTGGTCTTTCAATTTCGCTGTGTCTTTGTGTAGCCCTATTTTTTACAAAATATACAGAACCACAATCAGACAATATTTTATCTTTTTCGTAACTTAACTACATTGCAATGTTGTCTTCCACATAAACTGAATTAATAGCAATATTCTATTCGTATATGTTAACGCCCATATTTTGCGTATTTGCAAGTTCTAGAAAGACGATCAGTTATAAAATGCTGACAAATATATCAGGGGAGTGTCTACTCTCTCTTTGCATTGTTTTAACTATTACAAATTCGAAATTCAGGGTTCTACATGGGTTGATTGTATAGTGATTCCGCGCACTTCATGGTAAGACTAGAAGTTCCGCATGTGAAGCGCAAGTTTTTATCGCGGAAAGTTCCGGCAATCTTTCCTCGCTGATAAGGAATTCCGCGCCGACCTACCCGTCGGTTTCCGCGATTTACCCCATCCATAGCCCGCAACACGAAAAACATCCAAAAATGTCTCTGACGATCGTTCTCAGTACTTGAGCCAGTGTGTTCTCATTGAACGTAAACAGAAATTGTGCTATTTTTGAGTGATTTTTTTAAATATTTGTATCGAATTTTGAGAATAAACTAAATTGTTGGGTAGCCAAGGTAAGGGTTTATATATTTTATTTATATTCAGAAACATAAAGAATGTA